AAGTCTGCAGTTAGCCTGATGGGTTTTCCTTTGTAAGTTACTTGATGTTTTTACTTCATGTCTTGCAGGACTTCCTCCTTTGTGTTGATTTAGGCCAGTCTGATGACTATGTGTCTTGGTGATTGCCTCTTTGCAATGAATCTCCCAGGTGTTCATTGAGCTTCTTATACCTAGATGTCTAAATCTCTAGCAAGACCCGCGAAGTTTTCCTCGGTTATTACCACAAATTGGTTTTCCAACCCTTGTGTGTTCTTCTTCACCCTCAGGGATGCTTATGATTCTTATGTTTGGCCTCTTTACATAATCCCATATTTCCTGTAGGCTTTGTTCATTCCTCTTATTTCTCAGTTCTTTCTTTTTGACTGACTTGTTTAACTCAAAGATGTTGTCTTCAAACTCTGAGATTCTCTTTTCTGCCTGATATTGTCTGTTCTTAAGGCTTTCTGCTGTGTTTTTTATTTCCTTGAATGAAATTTTCATTTGTGGAAGTTCCATTTGATTTTTTTTTAAATAATTCAATTTTGTTAGTGAATTTTTCATTCATTTTCTGTGTTGTTTTTGTGGTTTCTTTGTGTTGGGTTTCTATTTTCTCTTGTATTTCACTGAGCTTCCTTACAGTCCATGTTCACAGTTCTTCATCTGTCTTTTCAATCTTTTTGTTTTAGTTGTTATCCATTGGTAAGGAGTTATTGTTTTCCTTTCAGGGTGCCCTTTCCCTCTGATTTTTCATGTTTCTGGAGTTCTTTCAGTGATTCCTTCTCATCTGGCCTCCTGGTCAAGATCTGGGGGTGCTAGGCCTGGCTTATGGGCCTGTCTCCGGGTCCCTGAAGATTGATCCCTGAGCATGCCAGGGAGAGGAGTGCTGGTCCTGAGTTGCTTACAGGAGTGTTCTAGTAGGGTTGTTGACCCTCTGGGGTTACCTATGAAGAGGTCTTCACCTTTTCCCAACAGTGTGTAGTAAGTTAGGTCCCTCAGCTTAATCATAGAGATGGTGGGTGGTACTTGTGAGTACATATCAGCTGCTCTCTGTTTGCTTGAGTTGGAAGGCACTATGCTTAGCTATGGGGTTGTTCTCCCTCTCATTGATTGAAGTTGCATGGAAGAGACAGCTGCTAAGATGGTCTTTTGTGCCCTTGGTAAGCTCTGGTCCCCCAGGTGGGGCACACGAATGCCTGAAACTACTCCTGTAGCCTGGAGGGATCCTGTAGCTCCCAGGGGTTTGCTTGATCTCTACTCCCGCTGAGGTAGGGGAGAAGCAAGACAAATTGTGGCTGGTTTGTGAGAGCCTGAGAGGCTTTGCAAAGCCTTGGTGGGGCTCAGAGGTTGCTTATTTGGCCGCTAGGGGGAGCTGCTGGTATGAAGTTCAGGACAATTCCTCCAAGCCAGGAAGGCTGTTCCCAGGGGAGGGGCCTAACAGCTTTAGTGCTCAGTCCCCATACCAGGCTCTTTTTGCCCTTGTCCTCTAGTGCAGTTTCTCTGAGGGGTGGGGTTAGTGCCCTCCCTGTTCACTCCCTGGAACTCCACAGCACAGTCCTATCAGGTCAGTCCACGTGAGTTCCCTCACCATGTGAGACTGGCTTTCGAACTCCCCCTCAGTCTGTGTGTGTGACCCACTAGTGTGTCTCCATAGGATGCTGGCAGATAGGGGATCCCCAGTTGTGCATGCCTGTTCTACCATAAGACCCCCAGGGGAGAGAGGTAGGCCTCTCTGTCCACAGGGGCCTCTGCCAGGGCACACTCCTCTGGGGAGAAATGGCTGCTGGTGGGTTTTTTGGCTCAAACTGCACTCATTATTGTAATGAGTGCGGGGAGAGGCCGCTGCTGCTGTGTAGCTGGTGCACCCAAGGCATTTGGTTGTCATGGGAAGCAGGGGCCAGGCTAATTCACTCCCAGTGTCTCACCCTTGTCCAATATGGCGGTTCTCCAGCGGCAGTGGGTGATGGGCATGCTCACAGATCTCTGTTTCTCAGCCCCCCTCCACACTTTCCTATTGGTTATGTGCACAAGGGCTTCCTTGCCACCCAAGTCCGAGAACGAGTTCTCTCCTGCGACTTCCTGCACCAGTCTCATGTCTGGGCCCATTGGGTCTGGCCCACCTGTCTAAGCGCCATCGCATGATCCCGCATGATCCTGTGAAATGCTGGTGGGCAGGAAGTTCACAAATTGCAGCAGCCCTGCTCTAAGTGGTAGGCTCAGCTGGGAACATGCACCTGCCATTGAGAAGCAGCTGGTTGTGTCCTTCTCATTTTCATAGTTTTCTCGCTGTTGCGATGGGCGGCGAGGGACTGCGGCTACCAATCGGCTGAGCTAAACTTACTCTGTCTAATGCGGTGATTGGAGGAGGTGCAGAGGAGGAAGTACCTAGCTATAGGAAAGCCAGCACTCCAATCTCTAGTGATGCTCTCCCATGGAGTGTCCCTTTTGAACATCTAAACTCGGGGGGGTGGTTCACTGGTTCACCCCACTATTCCTATTTAGCTGCCATGCCTGGGCTCATGGAGGGTGGAGGCGCCTGCAAAATATGTTTTATGTCCTGCTGTTCACTGAAGGTACCTAGGTGGGGTAGGGGAAGCCGCCCTTACCCTTTCACTGGGCTGTGGGGCTCTCTGGGTTTGGTCTGTGCCACTGTCTTCTCCTCTCTGTCTTCTCTTTTCTCACTTTTGCAGTTTTTCTTGGTTGGGTCCTCAGACGTCTCTGTTGTGTCTCCCTGTGATCCATACCTGAGCTGCAACTGCTTTCCACTTCCTCAGTCCAGTATTCTACCTTCCAGCTGGGACGATCCAACAAGTGATGGCGCTAGTTGGCCACCTTGGCTCACCCCCCATATTAACTCATTTTATCCTCACATCAGCCCAGTGAGGTCGTGATGTACTGAGCTCTTAAGTGTCTTGCCCAAGGCCCTTCAGTAGATGAGTTGCAGTCAGAATCTGTATTCTTAACCATTACTCCTCACAAGGACCCCATTCTGCGTTTGGTTGGCTGTATTTATAAAAAAATTATTTTTATAGTCAGTTGAAATCTGTTTTTTACTTGGTCTTCTGCTTACACTTATTCGTACCTCTGTCTGTCCTTTAAAATTTTACAGCATAAGTTTGTCTGCTCATCAAAGGTAGACATTTAAGTATTTGAATATAGCTATCGCTTTTCTTCAGTGAGAGTGCTAGTTTTCTGTTCATCGGGATACACATTCTTGCTTTTGTGGGATTCTTGACAGCTTAGTTCTCTGCAGTTCTATTTTGTTTATTTAACTAAATATAGGAGTTGACCTAGAATAGAGATTTTTCTTTACAAGTTTTTATCGTATGACTCCATGTATGGGCAAGCAAATACATACTGTTACCCAGCATTGTGTTTAGAAATGAAAGTGAGGGAGAGATCATGGTTGAGTTAGTGAGGAAAATATTTACCTAAAGATACATCAAATTCCAAATTGAAGACCAAATTCAATTTATCTGCCACCTTTGAGTAAACAAAGAAATGTGTTTATTGCTTGTATGTGCTTTCCATTCATGTAGAGGAATATTTACTTTAAGAAATTTTAGACTAACTACACCTCTTCAGAACTCTTAAGACTTTATTTATTATGCTGATTCCAATTCAAACAAGTATCTTTCTTATTTTTGTCTGTGTTCTTTCTGCTCTGGATGTTTTGCCTAGTGGCTAATCTAGTGACTTTTGCCCTCCCTCCTTCAGTGCAGATTAAGCTTAAATGCTTTCCCAAGCTCAGCAGACATCATTCCATATATTGCATCCCAGCATACCCTGCTCAACTCTTCTTGCCTTTTGTTTTTGCTGCCAGTTAGTTATATTTTCACTAGATATGTTTGTCCATAGAGTTGTCCTTTCTCAAGGACAAGGACCTTTTCTTACTTGCTAGAATGTCTTTTACAATCCAAATGTGGATATTTGATAAATATTTGATCATAAATCTTTGTGTATATTATCTTAACTTCTTTTTAATTCAAAAGTGTTTTTAAAATGCCCAGATTTCAAGTTAGTGCAGTTTTGAGGTATTTGTTACTTAGGTCTTACCAGGTGTGCGGCTTTGTTGTAATTTATGTTGATGTGCTCTAGATCTGACGTTTCCTTGATTTTATGCTACCATATCTACAGTGATTGGATTTGGTATTTTCTTAGCCCTGACCTGACATTTTTTAGATGACCAAGTTTCTGTGTAGCATTTTGTTGAACACCAGGGACTGTCAACCACTGTGCCTAACCCCACCCTCTGACTCCATGCTCTCTTACTTCACATGTAAATGCCAGTTATTTTAGTCACTTTTCACAACGCAAAATGTTTCTAAGACACTTGTCAGTGAACAGTAGCAAATTGAAATATGAAATGATCTGACTTATTTGTAATTAGAGGGTGTTCGAGTGTGTTGGAATATGTTGTACTTCTACCGATTTAAAGACCAGGTTTCACTGTGTTTTGTTTTGGAACCTGGTTAGTCAGCTACACAGAAGTGGTCAGACCCAGGAAAACTTACCCACTTATCTAAACTCATATAAAACTGAATGAGAGTTTAAAGCCAATTTATTTATCTATCCAAGATGAACGAAACCTAAATTGCTTTTTTTCTAGCAGAAAGGTCTACTTGTGAAGTCAAATTATGTTTTAAGAAGTTTGAGAGATTAGAAGGAAATTAAGAGCATTAAAGATTAGAAGTTGGAATAGCCTAGTGAAACCCTTATATCTTTCACCATCAAGAGAAGATGTATGTGTAAAGAAAGATAGTTAGGAAAAATAGTGTTTGGAGGTAGGAGATTCTCTGCAAGTTTACTTTTCCAGCGTTCAGAGTTAAGCTTTTAGATTATCTGGTAACCTCTCCTCCCTACCACTTTTGGCATTTCCTTTAAAATTGCACATTTTAACACACTGTATTTGAACAAGTCTGATTTTCAGAGATACAATTTCATAACTTTGAATTTTAGCTGAAGTATAAAAATTAGGTAGGATATACCTTTTCTGTGACTTAAACTTCTTTCTCCATTTTCAGTGTCCACACTGCCCATGTGGAAATGCTATGTGAAATCTAGGTACTCCTTTCCCTCTCTCCGTGTTCTCTTTTTCTCCCTCCCGCCCCTCTTCCCTATGCCAGTATGTAATTACCTCCTTGTCTCAGATACTGCTCTAAGTTCTGGAGATACAGTGGTGAATATGACAAAGTTCCTGCTCGATACGGATTTGTATGATTAATTTTTTTTCTACCTTAGTTGTTTTGATATACATTGTCGCTCTTAAAATATCAAACTAGGTGAAACATCTTAGAAACAGAAAACATGCTTGTAAATTAAGTATCCTGTCAACTAATTTTTGAAAAAAGAATAATATTTCTATGAAAATTCATGTATGAAGAAAATAATCCTTCACATATATTTTACATTATTTTTTTCATAGGGAGAAATGCTCTTCACCTGGCTGCTAAGTATGGACATGCATTGTGCCTACAAAAACTTCTACAGGTAGTAGAAGTGTTTTATACTTTAGCTTTATTATTTCGACTGCAAATAATAGATGTGTTTTTAATGTGTTTTTGGAATTTGAGGTTAAAGAAAATGGTAGACCAGGTTTGACTATTAGCTTGCATATTTTTTCCTTCGTTTGTGAAGGAATGTGAACAATAAAGAGCAGAAAGTCTGAGGGAAGTGAATTGCATAACTCAGTGTATTAAAAATAAATAACAAAGAGTTGACCTTCCTGTTGACATTAGCTGGGGATTGGAATTTTCTGTTGTCTAGAATGTGACAGATAAAGTGATACAACATAGGATCTATATAATTCTATATAAACATAGATAACTTAGACTGCATAATACTAACATCATTAGTTAAACTTAATCAGGCAACCACAGAATTCTGTGACCTAGTTGGCTGAATTAAGGTTTCAATCAAAGGCTCTAGTCATATATTTCTATAAACATTTTTGCTAAGTTTTGCAGAACTCCCTTGTTTTTCTGATTAAGTAATTCTCTTTAATTCTTGCTGAAAAGAACCCAAACAATACATATTTTCTCTATATTCCATGCCATTGTAATACACCATATGTTTCCTGTTTGGTGAAATACTATTAATTTAGTTATATAATGTTATGTTTGTTTCATGTTAAAATATTTAGTGGGTTGTCTAATAGTCTTTAGTTTCTTTAATAAGAGGAATATTTTAAGATTAAATAACAAGTGTTCATTTGAGTCTGGATATTTAATTTTATAATAAAACTCCTAGGTTACTAAGTTTCTGTGTTTTAACAGTATAATTGTCCCACTGAACATGTAGACCTGCAGGGAAGAACTGCACTTCATGATGCAGGTAAGCAAACGTCTCTATTTGTTGGACACAAACAAATATTTGTAAAAATGTCTAGTCATTTAAATTAATTTCAAGGTTTTAACATATTATGTATTTGTGTAATTCATGAATAAACAAAGAATATTGAAAAGTTTTTGTATACTCAAATTTAATTATTAGATTGCATAGCTTAAAAATATTCAGCCAATATTTACAGCCCAATTTTCTAGATACTGTAATAAAGGTGCAAAGATGAGTAAACCATAATCCTGTTCTCAAGGAGTTCTGAGCACTGTATGTGTGTGTTTATGTTTGGGAATTGGTGGGAGAAATGGGAAGGAGGAAGATACCTCTCTTTCTTAAAAGCTGTGTTTACCTAATTAACATGTCTGAACCTAATTTTTCTCATTTGCAAAATGCAGTTAATAATACTGCTGCAGTAAGTAATTATAATTAAATCATAAGTAATATCTGGCATATATTAATTTCTTAATTAATGATGGTGGTGGTTGTTTTCATTTAGAGGTGTCCACAAATTTGTGGGCATGGCAAACAAAATCCAATTTTATGACTGACAAGAATTTTTTCCTGATATAAATATGAACTCTGAATTTCATATCACTGTTGTGTGTTATATTTTAACAAATATTTATGCTAATAATTTCACAGATTTTATTGATCATACTTGTGTGTCTAGATTTATCTGCATTGTTCTTTAAAGGTGTCTTAAAGTACTTTGAAAAAAGTTATATGTTT